TGGGCCATGTCCTCATATGGCATTTTCATATGGAGAAATCCACATCTTTCATGTTTAAAAGCCCCAACTAAAGTTGCACCTTGTCTATGGCTGAGAACTTGTATTGCTCACCATTGGCTAAGCACATGTTAGCCCACTCAATCTTTTGTTTAGCCAACCTTATCAAGGATTCAGCACACTCAATCTCTAGTTTTGCCTTTAACCTTGTAAGCTCTTCTTTTAGCTATTGGGCTTACACCATACTTTGGTTCTTCTCACTTCTTACTTTATTAGTGCAGTCGATAATCGTTGCTTGATCTTCCTAATCTAATGTTTTGTTGCTTGACCTTCATCAAGTGAGCAATTGCAGCATCCAAGCTTTGCTACTTGACAATGATCTTCTTGACAAACTCTTTCTGTTAGACCTCTAAGCCCTCTTTTTTTTTATTATAGCCTCTATGCTTCCATGTTCTTTTTGTATAGTTGGCATTAAAAGCCTCTAATAGTCCTCAGATTCTAATTTTTGCATAAAGAGCCTGAACCTGTGTTTTATAGACCCACCTTGCTTCACTAAAGATTACCCCAAACACAAAATGGTTCCAACAGTTAGTGAAACAAAATCATACATTCAAAAAACATAAACATGCAAGATCTCATAAACTTCGTGAATCATTCAATCATGAAATAGCAAATTCATTTTTGCAAATTTGTTGAGCAAGAGAAACTATTATATACTTTTTCTTACATAAATGGGATTGGGCACATCACAACCACAAATAGGACTATTTAAGAAAAAGATGGTAAATTGTCTTATCCCATGAACGACCCTGAAGTCTAATAAGACATTATCTAGTCTTTTGCCATAATAGCTAGCAACTAAGGTAGTAACACTCAACAAAAGGAACTCTGATATTAGTACTCATTACTACAAAAAAAGTCATCACATTTGGTGGCACAGACAAAGGCATGGTAGAAGATGAGCTTGAAAAAATAGCCTCTTTAGGGGTTATAGTGCTCATTATGACTGTTAAGGATAAGACCAAAGGCATGCCAAAAGTTGTCAATAATGGCACACCAAAAGCTATTATTGGTAATACGGCAAATGTTGTGACATTGAGAATGATATGTGTTAAAATATGGACCCCACTATTTTACCACTACTGTAGTAAGTGCCTTAGTAGTGCCCATAGCTTGCTTTTTGGTCGAAGATGAACTAACTTGCAATAATATCTTCCCTTTTTATTTCTCTTACTAAATTTTTTTTTTTAACTTGGCAGCAAGATTCATTTTTACAAATAATAATAAAATATTAGCATCAATACCAAACAATCCTAACAAACACGAGCAAAAGTAAAGTACCATAAATAATAGCCTTAAAGTTAGGCACATCACTGCCAACACCCTCTCCCATTGGCTCATTAACCCTTGTAGCCCCTTTACTACCTTCTTCAACTCTACTTCCTTACCTTTTCCTACTCTACTCCCTTAGACCCCTACAACACCATGCATGCCAACATCAATATACATGCCAACACTTTTTTGCATACCTATAGATTGAGGTAAAACTACTCCCCTCTAAACACTTTTTTGCTCAATAATAGTATTTGGCACATTAACTTCTAGCAAGCACCAAAATCTTTTAGTTTCACAACAACCCTTTTCATTGTACCAAAACCAAATATGCACCCACAACCAATGAAATTGTAATAGCATAGCGACAAACAATAAAGCACACAAGCAAACTCACACAACAACATGATAAACTTTCAAATTACCTATCTTTCGAGAAGGTTAGTTTTTTTTTGCTATTTGATGTCGATGTTGGCTCTCTCTCATCTAGCACTTTTCAGATGAAGCCTCTAGATCCTTATCTTCGTCGATCATCAAATAGTGCTAGTGAATGTTTTCCCTTATCATAAATTCAAGAAATGTAGTTTTTTTTCCTTCAAAATATTCACCTATTTTGCCTTATCATCACCTAACTCTAGTATTCTTTTGTTAATGCACTGATATACAACCATCTTATTTTAAAAAGGAATCGCATGTCAAAAGTCCTCATACGTGACATAACGAACCTATCATAGTTGGGGTGATTATTTGTTTGGCTTTATCTCATATGCATGCCTCAACTCCTAAAAGTAGTATAGCCATCAATTATTTTCTTTTAAGGTGAACAACGCCAACACCATGTTCACCAATGAAACCTACTTTTTTTTATAGCAGTGATGAAGTATGTCACCAAGATCCCCCACGAACTAAGTAACAATTGCGGCGCGGCCAAGTTGAAAGTGGCAAGCACTAATTGAAATTGAAAGATTAGGTAGAACCCATATATGAAATTATATAGGTAGAACCTCGCCATTCATTCATTCATTAGCCCCCACCTGGCTTATAATCCTTTAAAAGGCAATGACATAGTGAATAGAATGTTCCCGCGGTTGTATGCAATGATGTCCAAGGTTTGATTCATCATGGATGTAGCCACAATGGATTGGTACATGTCTGATGGCCATTTCTCTAACTCAAGATCTTTTGGCTCTGCACCATCACTTCTTTTCATTTCTCATTGTTACTACTAGACTTATTAGACAATGCACCACCTTATTCTCAAATCATAATCCCACTCTCTCAACCCCTATTCCCAACCTCTTAGGTCTTTTGCATCCCACTCCCACCATCATTGTTTATAACCAGCACTCTAATGCCCTTCTAATTACTCAAATCCTCTATAATAGCTCTTATTTTCGATGACATCTTTTCTGAAACTAGAAAAACCAAAAAAAAAACAAATGAAGAACTTGAGAAAACTTTAAATTTACCCAAACCTCTAAGACTTAAATAAACAAAAGCCACAAAAAATTTCTTCTATTGGGAAGTAGTAAAGTAAATCCCCAACCCTTTCTTTCCCCTATTATACTAACTTAAACCTTTTAATTTAATATACTAACACAAACCTTTTAATTTAAACAGTTTAATTAAATTCATCAAACTAAGCCAATTATTTTAGTTACACTTTTTAAACAAATACATTTAACCCAAAACATCTGTCCAACCTTTCATTTTTTGATTAATTGGATTCCTACTTGAAACAGCACATTCAAAATTCAAATAGAATAAATGATGTTGTTATCTCTCTAACCCCATTGCGCCATGTATCCTAAATAGTCATATTAGTCCAATACATGGCCATGTGCCTTGCAACATGCCTAGCAACACGCTTGGCTCACCTTTGTCATTCGTGCTCCACATTACATAAAGTAAAAACAAGTTCCCTTAATCCTCGCCTATTGCTCTCTGTTGCTCGATAAGACAAGTCGCCAACCAAACTCGCCAAAACTAAATGCACTCCTCCCAATGGCTCATCTCATTAAAAAACTACTTAACAATTTTGAGACTTAAAAAACTACTTAATAATTTTGAGACTTGAGTACCTACTTAGATTAAGGTATGAAGGCGGTCACTTTATAACTCCCTTAATCCTCAGAGGCTTAACAATTGCCTAGTCGCCCAATCAACAAGGTCAACCTCTACACACGTCAAGTTAGCACATGCCCAATTGCCAATTCACCATTAAAGATGATTGACACTCAGGCTCCTCACCATAATATGGGCTCGCCCCTAAGTTGCTTGCCTACCAAGACTTCTTCGCCCAACTACCTCCAATGATGTCCTACCAACACGTCATCTCACAACAATCTAACTTGCTTCCAACTTACGTGGGATCATTAAATACAGCTTACGCTTACTCATGTGGACCTTCCTCGAGCTTCACATAAAATCTTCATCAACTGTCACCAATTTTAGTCATGTCATCGACCATCGTCTCATATATAAGGTAAAAAAGATATCTAGGTACACATTCTGAACCCTTCATTCTTAAACTTCCTTCATTCTCTCTACAACTTATATCCTCCTTAAAAAACCCTAGTACATTTAACTAAGTTGAGCATTGAAGCACATCCCAAAAAACAAATTCCAACGCCCCTTGATCATACTTTCTTTGTTGCAAATCCAAACCAATCTCAACTCATCTTCCAAATCACTGTCCAGCTCACCTTTACCCAAAACACCATCAACAAATCTCATGCACAACAACTGTGAACTACCAAGGTAAGTAATCTGATTACTGGTTCTCCAATACTATTAGATGTGAAAATTTACGCTGAAAAAATTGGTATCAATTTATCTTGTGCAGCTTGAATGAAAAGAAAGATACCATCAAATAAATGTAAGAATGGTTATAAAGAACAGATTTGTCGAATTAAATTTACAAAGAACTTCAAAACTACTTCAAGAGAATAAAAAAGTGAAACTACAACCGTTGCAAGTGGATTGATCATAAATACTTTCGGATAACAAGGTTCTTCAAGTCTTGTCATGAAGTGGTACAAGAACAAATTAACTTGTAATAAATGACTTAGCTTGTTGGCTGGCCCCAAAAATTTGTGAGCATATATACTCTGTCTGTACCGGATGAGGTTGATTTTCCTTCCTACCATACAACTGTCCAAAAAATGATCAAGAACATAAAATTATATGAAATGAAACTTTAGTATGAACTTTTAATAGAAGAATCAAGTTTAATGCTTTTGGTTTTCGATACATGATCTGTACATTGGGTGATTGTTTTTTAATTGATAGTGTTATTTGATGTTCCAAGAAAATTTACCTTAAACAATTTTACTAGTATAATATATTTTTAATGAAATCAATTAGAATGAGTTTTTCTTCAAAATTCATTTCACTGCACCATTAAATCATAGCGTTAATCGACAAAATATAGTGATTCAATGGGGGATTTTTCTGACAAAGCCAAAAATGGAAAGAAAAAGTATTAATACATGAAAGCTCCAAGCTTATCGATATCTCCCCATTCGATTCTCTCCCGTCTGATAGCTACGTCCAATTTAGTTCTCTCGAATCCCTTCCTAAAAATCCTCTCAAACATTTATTTATTATTATTATTTTTTAAAATTTTCAAAGAAAGATAGAAAAAAAAAAGGCAAATCAGAGCACGGCGACAACCCTGCTTCATTCAACCCGAAAGTGATCTCCATCCTCTACTCTTTCACTTATAACCCACAGCTCATCATTATATATTTCGACCCAAGCAACTCTTATTTGCCACCGTTATCTTCACCATGGCCACTGACGCTTCCCCTCAGTACCGGCCTGTGCCACCTCCTCCTGACTTTCACCCCGAAATCTCACTTTCCCAGTCGCTAACCCACGATGGCCTCCACTTTTGGCAATTCATGATCGCTGGCTCCATAGCGGGCTCTGTCGAGCACATGGCTATGTTTCCTGTCGACACCCTTAAGACACGCATGCAAGCTCTTGGAGCTTCGTGTTCGGTTCAACCCGTAGGCGTTCGCCAAGCCCTTTGCTCCATCTTAAAGCTCGAAGGTCCTTCAGGACTTTACCGTGGTATAGCTGCAATGGGACTAGGCGCAGGACCAGCCCATGCAGTTTACTTCTCTGTTTACGAGCTAGCTAAGCAAGTTTTGTCCCGTGGTGAGCCCAATAACTCCATGGCTCATGCTGCTTCCGGCGTGGTAGCCACTGTTACAAGTGATGCGGTATTTACCCCTATGGATATGGTGAAGCAGAGACTGCAGCTGAAGAGTAGTCCGTACAAGGGCGTAGCTGATTGTGTACGGAGGGTTCTGATGGAGGAAGGGATTGGAACCTTCTACGCTTCTTATAGAACTACTGTTATTATGAACGCACCGTTTACTGCTGTTCACTTCGCCACGTACGAGGCAGCGAAGCGAGCGTTGATGGAGGTGTCGCCTGATACGGCCAACGATGAGAGGTTGGTGGTTCATGCCACTGCTGGTGCCTTTGCTGGGGCCCTGGCCGCTGCCGTCACAACGCCGCTTGATGTTGTTAAAACCCAGTTGCAGTGTCAGGTAAACTGTTTCTAATGATAATTGTTGTTTTGTCCACTCTGTTTTCTTAGTTTAGAAAATATTAAAATTCAGAATTCTGATAAAGATAATTCCTGTTTGAAAATTTTAAACAGATGCCGAAGAAGTACTCATCAAAACAGTGGGTTTATATGCATGAACTAACATGATCTTCAAATATAGGAAAGACAGAAAGAGAATGAGTGGCGGGAAAGACTTGTAGCTGTTAAAGGAACTGTTTATAATTAAGTCTTAGTCTTAAGTGAGTTTGATGTGTGTGATTAGTTACTTAGTTTGGCTCTAATTAAATAGGTTTTGAAAGAAACAGGAGCTAGCTCAATAAGCTCAACCTTTAACTTTAGGAGCTTGAAACAGAGATTAGAGCAGAGGTTAGTCCACTTTATGCCAGACTGGTAGAACAAACGGTGCTCAACTTAATCTTAGCTCAATTAAATCGACTAGATTGAAATTTGACCAAGTTTGACAATGTTCTTCATCTTTGTGGATCGTGTCTTTTGAGCTGAGTTCTCTAACTCGTTTTCTCCTTGTGATTCGTTTGTCAAACAGGGAGTCTGTGGTTGTGATAGATTTTCCAGCAGTTCAATTGGGAATGTTGTTCAAACAATAGTGAAGAAGGATGGTTACCGGGGCCTTCTGAGGGGATGGATCCCAAGGATGCTCTTCCATGCTCCTGCTGCTGCAATCTGTTGGTCTGCTTATGAAGCATCAAAGGCCTTTTTCCAACAGCTAAACAGCAGCTAAAACTAAGTTGGCTAAGAAACGAAGAATCTTGTCAAAGTGTTGAGATTTCTCAGCTCCGCCTCAACCGAAATAACACATGAAAATGCCCGATCCTCAAACCTGGGTAAACCAGTTGGTTACAGCACATGGAAAATTCACAATACGCTTGTCTACAATTTCTTTTCGATCAGATCAAATAAATACTATTTACTAATCAGTCAAGCTTGGTGATCTGCTTTCACATGCTGTCAAGATATACTAAATTCAGACACTTGCCCTCTGAAGCCGCGAAATTGCATAGTTAACTAGATCTGAAACATTTGCATCGGGTACTTTCCCCTGGAATGTCTGAAATTGTGGATTTGCATGAACAATTGTGTCGTGTTTTCAACTGACATTTCCAGAATCGGGGTACTAGGGAGTTAAAGAGAAATTTGAGTCCATGACATTTCTGAGAGCCGCTAAAAGAGTTCTATCATGTACTCAGCCACAGTATGCATTGCGAAAGCGACTTCTCCTTAATTTGCAAAACTGATATTCATTAACCCTGAGGGGAGGGGAAAGAAAGGAAACGAAAATAATGAAAACAAAGTTTTTTATTTGTTTTGATAAATTTTTAATCTGACGAAAATAAAAGAGATAGAAATCCATTAACTTTTGATTTTTTTTTGTAACTCTCATTTTTTTAATTCTTTAATTTGAAAAAAAAAAAACTAAAGAAATCAAAGCTAAAAAAATTTTATTTTTATAAAAAATTTATTATATTCAGGAATATTTTAAAATCATAAATAATAAAAAATTATAATTAAAAAAATATTATAATAAATTATTTTTTTATTTTTTATTCAAATAACGTTTATTAAAAATTTTTTATTAATTTTAATTATTCAAATAAAAATACATATATTATTTTTTAAAAAATTTATAAATATTTATTCAAACAATACCCAAAATCCCAAATTGGAACTAATATTCTTTTCTTGATTAAAAATGGTGGATAAAAGAATATATATATATATATATATATATATATATATTTCTCTTCAATCCTCGATAAAATCTGCGAATGGTGTTCCACGATAACCAATAATACTGTACTTAAATGCCCTTTCAAAAAGCACCCAGTGGTCTAGTGCGGGTGAATTGATATTCCGTTCCTTTCCCTATAAAGAAAGAATGATTCTCTGGTATCCTCATAATGGAGCATTTGCGGGCACAAAAGTGCTCGCAGAATTGATTACAGGACTCTCTCTCGAAACTTTTGTCCCTTTCGCCCAAATCTTGTCACATTTTGGTTACAAATGTCAAAATAAGATATAATCTGTGATCTTCACAGTAGAGCCTGGTCCCAATTCAATGCCATGGGTTGGTAGCACCACAGATTATTCAAATAGACTGCCTGTGGAACCTCTAAAGCACCTCCCATACGATTTACTAGATCTTTATACACAAGGCTCAACCCCCTTAATTGAATGTGCCAATTCCATGAACATGGCATTTCCACTTTCAATGTAGAACAAGGTTAGGGACCTAAACAAATAAAACTTTTCATAAATATTATAGGTCTAAACGAATAAAACTTTAGATAAATTATTGTGAATAATTCAATTTTTATTCGTATATTAAATTTAATAAATAATTTTGAATAATATTTTTATATTTATTTATTAAACAAACCTAACATGAATAAAAATCTATTTAATTCGTTTATATTTATGAATAAGTTCATTTAAAATTCATTTAAAATTTGTTTATTATTTAATAATAATAACAAATTTATACTTTTATCATTTACTTTAATCTTGTTTTAAAATTCGTTTATGTTTGTTTGAATTTGTTTAAGATTTGTTTGTTTAAATTATTTAATTATGATTTATTTATTATTTATAAATATATTTATTTATATATATTCGTGAATACATTTGTTTATATATATTCGTGAACATGTTTATTTAATATTTACGAATAAATTCGTTTAATTTAATCGAATTAATCACAATTCAAATATGAATATCTTACCATTTAAATGAACAAAATTCGAACGAACAATTTTCTTACTAAATAAGAACCAAATTCGAAAAGCTCTAAAAATAAACAAACAAACCATGATTAAACATTCATTCGTATTCACTTCGTTTTCACCGCTAAATAGAGTCAAGCCTTACCACAAAAACAACCGGTCTTTGCACTTGAATTTTAAAATTTATGGAGACAAAAGTACTAAGGTTCAAAGGCTATGAGAAAGGAGTTAAAAGTTAACAAAGATAGGATCCCCATAGGCATTCTAACCACTTTAGAACTTATATACGCTTACACCTCCCTAGAAACCTAATAAGCCTCTCTATTCCTGGTTTTCTTCATTCCGGCATTGACATAAAGCTTTGATCCATCAGATGAGATACAGGTTATCTTCACCCATATCATCACTTTTGTCTTCATACCCTCTATATCTGCTAGCTTTCCTCTCTTCAGATACGCAGTCACAGCGGTGAAGAAGCCCAGGACCGATGAGTCCTTATATCCCACTTCACATATTGTTGGAAAAAAAACAGTAAGCTTTCCTGTGTCTTCATTGAATTCGTAGTTTATGGCATCATGAGGGAAGATACCTATTGGCAGGTTATACTGTTTTAACAGCTCTGGCAATGGCTTTTGCATTTTCCTGTAAAAGGCCAAATATTGGTACCAATGACAAAATTTTGGGGGTAAAACTTATAGGAACTACAGTGCATTCTACTATAATCTTGATACTATCAAATAAAGGGTCAAGATCAAGCCCTTATATCCCAAAGTCAACACCATGAAGGAGCCCCAAACCAAAGGCAGAAGTAGAGCTTCATGCGGATTTTTGAATGGTAGTCTTTCTGTGAACATTTAAAATTACGATAAGAATCAATCTGTTTAATTTTTATAATCAAGATCTATTGATATCAGAGTCCGGCCACAGAAAACCACTAGAAACTTTCTATTGGTGTTCTCTACATTAAGAATTATCACAATATAGGTGGCCACTTGCCACTTTGGTATTACAGGTTTATGTACCATTGACTTTAAAGACTAATAATTAGCTCTTTTTCTTACAGGTTGATGTACTTTAGCTAATAAAAAACTCATCAAGATGTGGACTCCGGTTCTGACATCTAAGCTTCACCTATTCCCAATTTTACTGGAAGACACAAACCTTGAACCTAAGTCAATTACCTGAATTTAACTTTGTCATACTAAACCAGTTATATAAAGCACAAGCAATGAACCGCATAGATATTACCCTTCCAAATAGCATAACAAAAGCTATCTTTCATATATAAAATACTAATGCAGAGAAGACATAACAATGATACGGCAAGAGAAGTACAAACCTTTGATTTTATTAACCAACCATTTGGCTCCGCCTTCAATGCTGGTCAATAATGACTGATTAAAAGGAGGAAAAATATTATTTTAGCATGAAGAAAGTTATAAACAAATACAAGGGTAGCCAAAATCAATAAATGAACATATATTCATCAACATACCCGCTTTGCTGGATTTGGAGAAAACATGAAACGAGTCCACATCATTCTTCTTCATAATCACCTAAGAATTCTTAGATGAAGAGTATTGTTTTAAACATTCCATAAAACTGCATTGCTTCCGATTTTCTAAGAAATTACGTTAATATGGGCACATAATTGAATGCAAAACCCATAGAACATTTATTTCTAATCATTCCTAGGATTAAAATTCCAGGGGAAAAAGGGGGAAAACTGTCGTCGGTAATTACTATGATCAAATATCGCGTCGGAAATGACAGCTTGAGCAGTGCGCAAATTAACCCTATTCTTTTAATCAAATTAATAGTTACAGTTTACCTAATAATAAAGTAATCTGCACAGATCCATATAGAAACATTTTCTCAAGAAACCCTAGGAATATTAATAATTTCAACAAATTATTGAGCAGATAAGGGTCAAAATATAAAACTGAACAAAATTGAAGAAGAAGTAAGCAACCGGGAGGTGAAGAAAAAGAAAAGCATACGTTGATATCGTCGCCGACGGGATTGATCTCCTTGTTGGCCTTCTGGCTCAGCCAATAGAAACCTACCTTGTTCAATATCTGATCCATTTTTCTCAAAACCTCAAAGTTCAATTATCCCAACTTTTTACTTTTATTTTTTTTTTCTTCCTCTGGTAATCTCTCTGACTATCCAAAGAGATGTAAGAGAAAAAACTATGCATGTATGATCTAAGGGACTAGACTTTTGACACGCATTTTTTACCCGCTCAATTTCCTTGCATGTTAACTGTTCAAATGTCTAACTAAAACCGTTTTTTTTTATTAGTAGTATTTTTTTTTTATTTATTTTTCAAATTTGAGCGCTATATCCTGTTGAAATTCTTAATACAATTAATGACATTTTTTGCTTTGAGTTTCAAGAGTGTAAACGAACAATAAAATGTTTGTAAATATGTTTGATTTTTATTTGCTTATTATCTTTTATTAAGTTTAACAAATAATCTTAAATGGTATTTTTAAGTTTATTTATTAAATGAATCAAATATGAATAAAAGTTTATTTGTTTTATTTATATTTGCAAACAAGCTTGCTTAAAGATTATTTTAAACCCGTTTGTTTAAGGTTCGTTTATTTTTGTTTGTTGTTTAGTAATAATAATAACAAAATTATATTTTTATCATTTACTTTAATCTTATTTTAGAATTCATTTATTTTTGTTTAAGATTTGCTTATATTCATCTAAGACCTATTTTGTTAAATTTGTTTGATTATGATTTGATTCTTATTTATGAATGTTTTCATTTATATATATATATATATGTGTGTGTGTGAACATATTCATTTAACATTTAGGAACGAGTTCATTTAACTTAATCTAGTCGAACATAAACCGAACATGAACATCCAACCATTTAAACGAACCCTCGAATGAATAAAATAATTTTCTTATCGAGCACAAATCAAGCTCAAACAACTCTAAAAGTAAACAAACAAACCATAAATATATATTCGTTCATTTATGGTCAATATGTTTAACCCCTATAACGGTTATCATGAAACTATTGGCTCAATGTTTCAATCTGTCTATTTTCCCCTTGTGGACATTTTTACCATTGTTCATGTCATTTAGCTCTATCTGCTGTCCTAATCTATTTGGCCTCAACAAACTTCTAGACCCTTTCATACAACTATACAGCTATTCTGGTTTATTTTTCATTAACTAATATCTCAAATGATCGTGTCTTACCCTTAAGGTGAAGTCCTAAATGGCCTATTTAGTATTCAAATCCTTGATTTCAAGAGTGGCGGTGTTGAACCTCTTTAAATGATGTCGCAAAATTTCTTTAGGCTTTTGCTTCATGGCTAACAAACATGTAGATATATTTGTGAACATATATATATATATATATTTGTAAACATATTCATTTAACATTTAGGAACGAGTTCATTTAACTTAATCTAGTCGAACATAAACCGAACATGAACATCTTACCATTTAAACGAACACTCGAATGAATAAAATAATTTTCTTATCGAGCACAAATCAAGCTCAAACAACTCTAAAAGTAAACAAACAAACCATAAATATATATTCGTTCATTTATGGTCAATATGTTTAACCCCTATAACGGTTATCATGAAACCATTGGCTCAATGTTTCAATTTGTCTATTTTCCCCTTGTGGACATTCTTACCATTGTTCATGTCGTTTAGCTCTATCTGCTGTCCTAATCTATTTGGCCTCAACAAACTTTTAGACCCTTTCATACAACTGATACAGCTATTCTGGTTTGTTTTTCATTAACTAATATCTCAAATGATGTCTTACCCTTAAGGTGAAGTCCTAAATGGCCTATTTAGTATTCAAATCCTTGGATTTCAAAAAGGTGGCGGTGTGAACCTTTTAAATGATGTCATAAAATTTTCTTTAGGCTTTGCCTTCATGGGCTAACAAACATGTAGAATATTTTGGTGAACAATAATAATATATTTGTGAACATATTCATTTAACATTTAGGAATGAGTCATTTAACTTAATCTAGTCGAACATAAACCGAACATGAACATCCTACCATTTAAACGAACACTCGAATGAATAAAATAATTTTCTTATTGAGCACAAATCAAGCTCAAACAACTCTAAAAGTAAACAAACAAACCATAAATATATATTCGTTCATTTATGGTCAATATGTTTAACCCCTATAACGATTATCATGAAACCATTGGCTCAATGTTTCAATCTGTCTATTTTCCCCTTGTGGACGTTCTTACCATTGTTCATGTCGTTTAGCTCTATCTGCTGTCCTAATCTATTTGGCCTCAACAAACTTCTAGACCCTTTCATACAACTGATACAGCTATTCTGGTTTGTTTTTCATTAACTAATATCTCAAATGATCGTGTCTTACCCTTAAGGTGAAGTCCTAAATGGCCCATTTAGTATTCAAATCCTTGATTTCAAGAGTGGCGGTGTTGAACCTCTTTGAATGATGTCGCTAAGTTTCTTTAGGCTTTTGCTTCATGGCTAACAAACATGTAGAAATATTTGTGAACATATTCATTTAACATTTAGGAATGAGTTCATTTAACTTAATCTAATCGAACATAAACCGAACATGAACATCCTACCATTTAAACGAACACTCGAATGAATAGAATAATTTTCTTATCAAGAACAAATCAAGCTCAAACAACTCTAAAAGTAAACAAACTAACCATAAATATATATTCGTTCATTTATGGTCAATATGTTTAACCCCTATAACGGTTATCATGAAACCATTGGCTCAATGTTTCAATTTGTCTATTTTCCCCTTGTGGACGTTCTTACCATTGTTCATGTCGTTTAGCTCTATCTGTTGTCTTAATCTATTTTGCCTCATCAAACTTCTAGATCCTTTCATACAATTAATACAGCTATTTTGATTTGTTTTTCATTAACTAATATCTCAAATGATCCCTTAAGATAAAGTCCTAAATGGCCCATTTAGTATTTAAATCCTTGATTTCAAGAGTGGCGGTATTAAACCTCTTTAAATGATGTCGCAAAGTTTCTTTAGGCTTTTGCTTCATGGCTAACAAACATGTAGAAATGCAGACCACAGTCTTGCTACTCAATAAATGCGCCAAAACTGCCCGTTCAGGGCATCAAAACTATCTATGGTGGCAGGAGCCACAAAATAAAACCATTTCCTAGCTCTCCCACATAAAGTGGTGGGAAAAGCTCTACACTTTACTGCATCCAATAGATTATATAGGTCTATAAAAGTCTTAAAATGGTCCAAATGATCTTCTGGGTCAATGGTTCCGTTGTAAGTATCTTTGGATAGTTTAAGAGAATGTGGGACGTCAGTTATTTAATGGTAGAAGCAAGAGGGTTATGGTCATCCTCCAACCACCAAAGGTCTTTGTTTTTGTCTTTTCTGAGCATAATTAGCTCTTTACGTAAGATCGTGACTTGCACAGTTAGTTCATTTTCTAGGTCTGCGTTTGTATGTGCCAGGTTATGGTGGTGGGTCTTGGCATACACTGTTTGGGGATAGGTTTCTTTAGGTTGGGTTGTGTTTCAAAAAGGCGGTGGGTCTTTGAAAAAAATGATGAGTTTTCTCTAGGGTGGGGTCACTCTTAGGGAGGTTACTTAGTTCTTTATTGGTATCGTCGGAGTAGTCTTTGCTGGGTGATTTAGGAGTTGTTTTTGGGTCATGAGGGTGATAAAAGTCTGTTGGTGTTTGCGTGATTGGTGGGTGTGTCAAAATCTATGTGCATGGAAGTGAAATGTGCATAGTGAAATTTACAATGAGGATGTTTGGCCACACATTAGCGTTAATGAGTTGTGAGAAGTGAATCTATGTTACGAGTAGTTGGGGAACAGGGTTCAAAAGTCTAGGTATTACAGTGTGGACTAATGGTGTCAGTATCATATTCGGGGATAAAGCTCCCATTAAACTTCGATAATAATCTAAAGGTTGTGACGCCCAAATATTTAATGAGAGTTGATTATTGGGAGATGGAGAGCCCTTAGCAAGTAAACTTGGTAAAGGAATTTGATGAGAGGTTGGTAAAAAAGATGTTACCTCAATGGTAGTTGCAGATCGGATAGTAACATTAATGATGGAAGCTAACGTCTCATAAGAATATAGTTAGTGTGACATAGTTGTCGTTCTCATATATGGTGTCGATTGTTGATGGTATTTTTTAATATTTTAACCAAAGAAAAAGAAATCAAATTGAATGAAAGGATAATTGTAATCTACAATCAAAAAATACGATCAAGAGGTGCCAAAATTATTACTTCAAGACGTGCTCCAATACTCCAATCAGTATATTACCTGAGATATATTATAGGAATAAGGCAAATAAAAGGAAAAAGATGGTGAAGTTTTCTCTAAAGAAAATGAGTCTTAGGCTTCCTTCTACCTCAGTTATCTTGTGTATTTGGTTTTTTCTTCACCTTTCATATAAGACAAAGAGTCATGATCTTACTAATATGATTGATAATTGAAAAAATATTTATATAAAACTCCAAAAAATCTCATAAAAATAAATAAAAATTATATTTAATAATCTCAAATAAATATAAACTATATTTAATGAACTTAAAACGTCATTCCGTCGTTCAGAGATACAAAACAAATTGGTGGCCCATTTATCAGTTTCGGGGTGACTTCCCAAGTAGGTGACAAGCCATTCTCTTAGAGTAGGTGACATACCGTTTAGGCGTGCCTTATCTAAATTCCTGAGAGCCTTAGTACGTTGACTGAGTTTCGGTCATTGATTGGTTGACTTTGAGGTAATATGGAGAAAACTCCTAAACAAATTATAGGAAAGACTGAATTCCAGGGCCTAAAGCTAAGCTCTTAGCCATGCACATAGCTCATAGCTGCAGCTATAAATTGAAACAAGCAGCTCATGGATTATCTCCAGTCCTTTTCTTCTCAATTCTCAGATATTTCTAATAATTTATTCAGTATTTAGTTCACTCTTTTATTTAAATAGTTTCTAAAAATTTCACGAACCTTTGTGATCGTAGCTAGGTGCAATGTATTGGGTGCTAAATTCAATAAGCAAATAATTAAGAAAAAAAAATATCGAGTATATCAAGCAGTTTGAATTGTGCTGTTTAACAATACACTTTTTATAGTTTCTTCGTATTTTAGGATTAGCTTTTCATCAATAACTTTTCAAGTACGTTTATATTCTCAACTTTTTCTACGAATTCTTTCATTCTTTGGGAATTTGCTTTTTCGATTTTTGGCTTCGTCACGTAATTTTTCCTTATCTAGAACTAAATATCTGGCATCAATCCCAATCTTGAACTGATCTCTCTACTTTCATTTCGCCTTCTTTTTTGGTTTTTGACCATGAACATATATCTTTTGGAAATTCCATGCATGCCACAAAAATGAAATGGAAAGTCTCAAAACTATTTAATTTTGTTATCTGCCACATTTTAATATGGAAGACTCAAAGGAGTCCATCTGAGCTTAACTAAGGACTGAAACAATTGAAGGGAAGTTTGATGAGTGCTGGTGATTAAGGAGATAGAAATGGGGGGCATGATAGAGAAATTTATTGAAGAGTTTTGAACATAAATGGTCAGTTTTGTTTTAAATGTCAAGTGGAAGGAAAGCCGGTGATGATGAATCGATCTAGAAGAAAGAAAAGAAGAGCAAGTTGTGGGTGGGAGTAAGAGAAGAAAGGCTTAGAAAAGATCATTACAACATGGGGAGCTCATGTTCATGCGCGTGGATGATTATCCAAATGGATCACTCAAAAGGTCCAAATCTACCAATCATACCATACAAAACAATTTAACCCCAGGTCTGACCGGGCCCCAACTCAGACTCCCACACGACTCGTACCTGACTACCTGAGGATCATGTGCTAAACCCCTCCAACTTGTTCTTGTTTATACTAATTTCTACCCAGAAAAAGAAAAAGCAAAAGCAAAAAATTAAATTTTCATTAATACAGAGCAAGGGTCCAAGCTTTTGTCTTGAGTACTGGTTAAAGACAAGATAGAAGATCACGTTAAAGCAGCAAAAGTGAGAGGAATGGTAAAACAAACACGGCTGCTTTGGAACGAGAGTAAACGTAGGTAGCTGCAACTTCTTTTCCTGCTACTTGCTTAATTTTTATCTATACAAAAAAAGAAAATGTATTCAATTTTTTGCCAAATAATAGGCTGAGACCTGAGAAAATTAATGAGAAGAATTTTCCCCGCTTATTATTATTATTTTTCAGTCTGCACCTGGGTCGGTTTGAATGCTTATCTTATCCTTCGGCTTACGACTCTCCAGCAAGTTGATTGTCTATATTTGCCTAATCTCTTCTATTTTTCAAATCACTTTAGCTTTTGACCCTCTCTTTCCTACACATTTACGAAACATGGCACTCTCTGAATTGACACTCATGACCTTCCGCTAACGACCATTGTTGCCAAACCGGCTTATTTCTTTTCATCTACTGGCCCTTTTCTTCTAGTTCACTTCTTCTACAAAGATGGATATTTCGGTTAAACAGTTCGAAACTATATCTACTACAACTATCAATTTCATATGGTAATGGCCCACCTAAAACATTTTACATCTTTCAATAATTACATTTTATCCATCTCTTATTACAGCTCTTTTTTACTTCTATATATATATATATATATATATATATATCTATATCTATATATTTGCTTTAGGACCACTTATCAATTTGCATCAAGTAATGGTCATGGCAGCTTGAGACAAGCTCATTTTTTGGAAAAGTTTATAGGTGAAATTTATGAAATTTTTATTAAAAATTGTTTAATAAAAAATTTTAATAAAATATTCAAATTAATAGATTGATAAAGTTTAATTAAAAGATCAATAATATGTAACAAAATATTAATAAAAATGCAATTTATAATTAAATTTGATCAATGTTTATGTAATAGTAAAAATTTTATTAAAATTTTTACTAAAAATGTTTATCTAAAAAATATCAAAAACTTTTAAAATTTATATACTTGATTTATGTAATAAAAATTTTCAATTCGACTTTTAATTTAATTGATTTTAATAAAAAAAATTTATAAATTTTATCGAACAAACTTGGAATAAGACTTCTCTTATTTTTTTCGCCTATGTTGTTGGACACGCTAGGGTGGGAAAATGAGATTAATTCCTCTATATTTATTCTCTTTTGTCCAATCAATTGGTAATAGTAATTTCAAATGCAACTACAATCACTCGTTTTAAAATGCCAAAAAGACAAATAATTAAGTAGTAGATAGGCAAATAAATGGACCATAAATAATATATGATGGTACATAGCTTTCATTAAACATAGGTTGAAATTCTAAATTCGAATTTTAAAACTTCACCCGCATTAAAATATTCTTTAGAAAAAGTAGTGACTCAAGTTGGTGATCACTTCCTAATGTCATCCTTTTCCATAAAGCAAAAATGGTAGTAATATTTAATTCATTACTTTTGATTTTGTTAGATGAATAGGTAAAGAAACAATTTGTACGTTAAATTAAGTTATCTCTTCGATCCTTTTGCATTGGGAAAATACTATTCTTTTCTCTCAAATTTTTATATTTTTAACATAAAATATAATTATTGATTTGATTCTAATATTTCATTATGAATTAATTAATTTATTCATGAATTCATAGACCATACATTGGAATTTATCCAAAACTTATATACCATGTCAGAGAGTATAATAATTTGATATAAAATTGAGAGAATAAGTTATGTTACCGTTTATAAATTTGTCGATTTATATATTCGTAGTTTTTAAAGTATCGACGATTTGTGTATTTATATAATATTTTATATAAAAATTATAAATTTAATTAATATTAACACGAAAAATATAAAATATATTTTTTTTTTATTAAACTCATTTATGATTTTTATTAAAATTTTAATTTGTATCGTCTTTACATCTTTTTCATATCATTTTTATATTGTATCATCATATTATATTTTAAATTATCAAGTTTAAGTATTTACATTTACTAGTCTTTATAATAAATGGCTAAAATAATAGACAAAAGCTCTTAAATTTTATCACTTTATTTATATAAGCTTTTATACTTTTATTACACCCAAATAAATACTTAAACCTTAAAATTAAAATAGTTTAAAGTCTTTTTAATATTTTAGCCATTATTTTTGTTTTAAAGGTTTTTTTTTTGCTAAAATAACAAAAAATTCCTATATTTTATTATTTTATTTAAATAAATCTTAATACATTTATTGTACTCATAATCATTTTTAATTTTTAATATATATCTAAATATATTTTATTTTTTAATTTATATCCAAATAACCCTTTAACGTTTAACTGCCGTTCTTCCTAGGGTTCTATTTATTAAAAAAAAAAAAAAGAAATTTTCGGGGTAGTTTAGCAATCTCGAAACATTGAAACATAGGGAGGGAGAAATCGGTAACTTTAGGAGCGGGTATGAACTCTTTAGAAAGTCCAACAAAACTCTGCTCATAACATCACCCACCGGAAGAACCTCCTCTTCCTAGTTGGAAAGCGACTAACCCAAACACCTTCCCCATCTCTCCACCTATATATACATATATATATATATAGATACATACATACTCTCTTGCTCCTTGCAACGCTAAATAATGATACTATTCAATATATACCCTTTCTCCAACAAAACAGCACAGTAAATATGCCTCCAAATTCATCCTTCTTGCTCCATAGGATCCACAATAACACCCCCAATACGAACTCCACCTCCACCACAACTATAGCTACAGCTGATAATTCCTCCATGCTTTGCCAAAAGCGGTATCCTTTAACATGCACCATGCCTGTCCCCGACACCGTTGCTCGCCACCATACCCACCCTGTTGGCCCCAATCAGTGCTGCTCAGCCGTCATCCAGCAGATCGCGGCCCCTGTCTCAACTGTCTGGTCCGTCGTTCGCCGCTTCGATAACCCACAGGCTTACAAGCACTTCGTGAAGAGCTGTCACGTCATCGTTGGGGATGGTGAAGTTGGTACCCTCCGTGAAGTCCACGTCATCTCGGGCCTCCCGGCCGCTAGGAGCACGGAACGCCTCGAGATCCTTGACGACGAGCGTCATGTTCTCAGCTTCAGCGTCGTCGGTGGAGACCATCGACTAGCCAACTACCGGTCGGTGACGACCCTCCACCCTTCGACTGCCGGGAATGGAACGATGGTGGTGGAATCATACGTGGTGGACGTACCGCCGGGGAACACCAAAGATGACACGTGTGTGTTCGTGGACACCATTGTTCGGTGCAACCTGCAGTCACTGGCTCAGATCGCAGAGAATCTCGCCAGACGCAAATAACAAACATCGAAAGGAAGCCATTTTCGTGAGTGAAACTCTTCATCAAAATAGATTAATTCTCTCCCTCTCTCTCTCGCATGCTTTTTGTAAAAAAAAATCTTTGGTGATACATCGTCGTTTTTGTAAGTATCCGATAGTTGGGTTGCCGATGGAACATCTCATCACTGCCAAGTTCATGTTTATCGATTCGCCTGATGATCAGCCTCTTTTGTTTTTTACTCTTTCTTTTTTTTTTCTTTAATCTGGGAAATATTATTAATAAATACACACACCACTTCATTGTTAAAAAAACATATTAGCCTCCACTATTTTCTGTCGTCATTACTGCCGGCTGTTCTCTCCAGTTTGTATATATAGCTTTATAAAATTAGACACTAGAATAAAAAACTAGATATATATAGTTTTAAATAGTTAATCTTGAATCAAATGGATGGATCGCAATTTGGGGAGATACTTGGTATTATTACAAGGGTAAAGCTATAATAAAATGCGTTAACGTGAAAGATGGTACTGTGCTGCATTAGACAGAAAGAGATGACCAGTAAAATGGCAGTGTTCGTTTGAAAAACAAGCTGCATGCGGAGTTGAGTGTTTTAACGTTAAGTTTCCATGTCAAAGGGAAGGTCTTGAATTTCATCATCCAGGAGTTGGAACGTTTCTGCCGATGGTCCACAGCCTATCATCCGGTTTCGGTACAACAAAAAAGTGTAAAATCTTTTTGGGGTTTGAATTTTTAGAATGGGAAAGGGCCGGTCTTGGCGACAAAGACCAAATACCTCGCAGGACCACGAGGAGCATGTGTTTTGCTCAATGTAAATTCAAGAAGATGGTTACATGCGTGCACATGATGTGCTAAGAGATTTTGATTCACCTGAAATTGGAGCAAAAGGAAGTTCTTCTTTATGGAATATTAGAGCATGGGAACTATATATGGTAAAAACTTGGGTGCTTTTGCATATCACAGTGGAGGTGAAGGGGTGCGTTTCTTTTTTCTTCTTAACAGTAAATAGGAAATGAAAATCATGGCAAATGAGGCGCACGTTTGCAGTTTATGGGCAGATAAGAAGATGAATTTTCAAAGGGTAAGTCAGCACTCATGCGGTTCACATCGTTTTCATTAGACGGTGCTCACCGGAACATGAATTGCAGCAGGTCCAGTAAAACCGCCGTTCAATTATTACTTGCTTGCATCTTGGTCTGGGGCTATAAAAATTTTATCCTCTGATCTGATAAAATGGAATTATTATGATTAGGGGGTTGTTTGAATTTTTCAATGGTAAAAAGTTGGTAAAAGATGCTCGCCTAATGTATCAGCGCAAGAAGTCAATTCAAATGAAGATTGTTTTTTTCTTCAAGGCAGGAGCTGAAAGGGCTGATAATTCAAATATGTGGTAACATATATGAATACTAGTATATTGAGAAGCAAGAAAACAAAATAAATCTGTACAATGGGATGGGGCCGGCGAAGTAACCAACAAATTTCCGGTAGTTGCATTAAAATACTAATAACGTGAAGGGAATCCAACCGCTGCCTCTCTCTCTCTCTCTCTCTCTCTCTCTCTCTCTTTGCTGCAACTTGACTTTGATAACTCAACTCAACTCAACTAGTTGCATGTTAAAAGAAAAGATAGATGCAAGTTCCAAATTGTTTTCCTCTTTCTTTATTTGTCTTTCTCTCTCTCTATCTGTTAAAAGAAATGCAACTTGCGCTCTCTCTCTCTCTCTCTCACATATGGCGAGAGTTTTGAATGGGACGTTTTGTAATTTGCAAGTTGGGGTGCAAGTGGAAAAGAAGAGGGCATGCTTTTTAATGATCCCGTGTACTGTTGTCTACTTTTGAATGAGTTCACGCCACCCATCCTCTCCCCTTCTCTCCGCTTCTTCATCAGCCAGTTTCTTCTTTTACGCTAATTTTTTTTTCAATATCTGCCTGCCATCACCATTCGCTTCCATATTTCTATGTTGTTGGTGCTGGGGTGAGCTGCTAGGGTAAAATCTTGAAATCAATAATAAAGAGAAAGAGAGTGATTAAAGGTAATGGTTGGGAATGGTCCCAACGTTTGTATTTCAATATTCAAATCACAAATCAACAAAAAAAAAAAATGAGAAGAAAAAGAGAGTGAGATAAATTAAAGAAAGTCAGATGGTGAAATGATACTTAGACGATCCTAGTTATACTTGTAAAAAAAAGGGACATAAGCAACCCAGGCTACCCTAGGTTAGCCCTGTAGTTCAAAATGATTTGACAGATCGAATTGACTTGAATGTTGACCGTCCAATAAGGGAAAAACAAATCAGCATTTAGGGAGACTTACTAGGTAGATCGATAAGGTGGCTAGGTTGATATGGCCCAATAAAATTAGGTCGACTTGATATATCAGCTCGACTTAATAGTCTAAAATATATTTAACTGTCTGTTGATAATTTTTAATAAGAAAAAGAAACTATTCTGCCCTCTGAACTTAAAAATGTCTTTTATATTCTATCTTTTAACTGAGCAATCTAAGTATCAGACTAATGAGTATTGATTGAGTCGATTTGATATGAGCATTGAGTCGATTTGATATGTACTCAGTAATGCTAAGCTTAAGTCAATCCGCATGGATTTTAAGAATTTTGTTCAGTTGGTTCAATATGAAGTCACTGAGGTGGACAATTGAGAATGCCAATGTGAGCAAAGGTCAAATCAAGCAGGCCTATGGACAGTTGTTGACATGTTTTGTACATCTGATATCACGTATGGTTGTAATTTGCTATTTCATTATTATGTTGATTGATGTGAGACTTATGGGTTTTTATTGTTTTTGAATTTCTAATGTTAGTACATGACTGAGTAGACATGTTAAAGATATTTAGCTGATTTAAATAGTTTTTTTCTAAAATGACCATTGTGCCTTTTCTGCATTTAATTAAGGGAGAGAAAATTAGGTAGTAAAATAAATTTAATCAAAGAGATATTATGTTGAATTAAAATATAGCTTAAAAAATTTTATGGTCAAATTGACATGACTCTATTATAAAATGTCAAATCAAAATATTGTTTAATATGAAGAATTATAATTTTTAGAAACATAAATAATGATTTCTCTTTGTATGAAAAGTTTAACTATTCAAATGAACAAATATATCTGTAATCTTTCAAAAAGACATGATTTTATTATAAAAAGATTCAAATCAAAAGATTGCTTTATATGAAAAATTATAATTTTCATAAACATAGATATTGATTTCTCTTTGTATGAAAGTTTAACTATTTAAATGAACAAATATGCATATAATTTTTTTAAAAATATATTTCTAACTGAAAAAAAATGTGATTTTTTATTAAAACAACAAAGTCAAAGAGTCACAACTTTAGATTAAAGATTAATGTGGATTCATGTAATACCTAAGCCCAAGTTATTATAACTTAATCAGTGACCCAGCCTATAAGTATCATTAGTTAAAAAAAAAAACTAAAAGAGAAGAAAATAAAAAGAAAACTTATCGATAGTTTTTGTATATAGTTTTCTCTAACATAAAAAAGAGGAAAACTTTAAGACATGCTCGAGAAGAATAAGAGAGGAAAAGATAAATCAATCATAGAAATAATTGATTAAAGTAAGATTTTATTTATAACTCTTGGAATTTTCCTGTTTTATGCAATTTTTTACAAATTTCAACATATGTTTTTATATCTTTTCATTTTAAAAAATATTTCGACGACTTTCCGATGATAATCTGACGAAATTGTAGGTATAAATAGAAATGTCTTTTCAAGATCTTTCTAACGGTATGTGTGGCACTTCATTTAATTAAATAATTTAAGAGAATTTATATTTAAAAATTTTTATTTATAAGTTTCTGACAATTACCAATACCTAACTTTGAGCTGTTGGAACTCCTTACTTAAGTGGTCGATTTGGTAAAAATTTAAGTTTTTTTTATAGTACAAAATGTGAACTTTCTAGTGATATAATTGGTTTGTTCAAATGATTTATAGGCTGAGAGAATCAAAATCTCAAAGTAAGCTTTATAAATCTAAAACTAAAAAAATCTAGGCTATCTGTGATAATTTGCAAAGTTTTAACCTCTGAAACTTAAGCTTCTAGAAATCATTTTTGATGAAACAAAATTCTATGTTGTAGTGTTATATTATTGCTTTAAATTACTATTTTCCTTTGTTACTAGGAACTATAGGATATTAGAGATTTTGTGACTCAAATTAAGCCAGATGGTTGCGAAATACAAAAATTTCATAATATAGAAAATCATATTTTCAATTATTTTAAAAATGATTTCCAATCAATATTTGATGCATTTAGTTATAAATTACTTGAATTTCAATTATATTATGTTAATGAATTTTTTTTTATTTTCATATATTTTTATTGTGTTAATTCTATGTTATTAGTATTGTTAAAGGACTATTAAATTATATTCAGATTTACAAAAAAAAATTACTATTAAATGTTAAAAATTAAATATTTGTAAAAATGTATATTGCTACTGATTTTTATGTTTTAATCCTTAATTTCATATTTATAGTCAATTTTAGACATTTTGCTATATTAAAAGAAAACATTTTATATGCTAAAAAAAAATACTTTCAAATAGTTTCGAATTGTCGAAAGGTTGCCACATAACCAATTTGCTTATAATGCCCCATGGAAGGTTTGCCTTATTAAATTTATGTTTTTGGGTTAAATTCTAATTTTTGAATATTTCTTGAATTATTAGGATATTAAGAGAATTAAGTGATTTGTTGCTTAAGTTTCAGTTTAATGCATCATGTAAGTCACTATTGAGAATAGTAATTTTTGTTTACCATGTCATCGGTGATATACTTATGTCTCATTACACTAAAAGGGTTACTATGATTTTTGTTCTATCTCATTACACTGATGGGTTAATTATGATTGTCAGTGCAACAATCTAGTTGCTTCTATTATACTTCTGTCACATTGCATAATAGGAAAAATTCTTATTCTAACCTATGCCACAGAGATTAAGTGTGGTCATAATATATTATAATAGACTAAATAAATTTATAGTTTTGTGATATTTGATTTCATTTTATGATTTGAGAATTTGATTTTTAGAATATTTTTGTGAATACAAGATTACCTAAAATATTTTTAAATCATTTAGTTAATGTTTTGGCCTAAGTGCTTTGTGGCATGCTTAATCCAACTAAAGGGATATTGGTTACTTATTGAGTCGTCATACACATTCTTTTAATTTTCTTTATTTTTTCAGATTTCAATGTTTGACTTGGTATAGTTTTCGAATGAGTATTTTGTTATTGATTCTAAAAGATTCGCTAGTAAGAATTTTAATATATTCAACCAACTTGTAGAGAGTATAATTTTGTAAACTTGAGATTTTGTAAAGTATTATTTTGAAGATTTTGATTTAGTTTGATATCTGTTGCCTTGCATACTTGTAAGATTTATCTCATGAATATGCAGCGTTGTTATATCTTAAATCTTCAAGTTTAAGGTGTGTTAGTTCATTTGAAATATAATTCAATTCTAATTTACATTTTCCTATCTCCAAATTTTCTCTTAGAAGGTTAGTTGCTTTAGTATTGTTTGCTGCAAAAAACCTTGTTAAAAACAAGGTACTTTTGTTTCTCACTAAATAATAGTGGTTTGGTTTTTCTAATGCAAAATAAACCAAATTTAGGTTTCATTGTATCATGAAGGTTATTCGATTCAATCTCTCTTGTACACCATAATTGGTGAAAGTGAAATAAGTCTTAAGGAAAGTGCTCAGTAATGCCAAGCTCAAGTCTTTAAGCATGGGTTTTAAGAATTTTGTTCAATTGGTTTGATATGAAGTTATCGAGGTGGACAATTGAGAATATCAATATGAGCAAAGATTGGATTAGGCAGGCCTATACAGTTGCCGACATGTTTTATACGTTCGATGACACATATGGTTGTAATTTGCTAGTTTGTTATTGAGCAATGTGGGCCTTGTGTGTTTTTATTGTTTTTGAATTTCTTATGTTAGTATTAGAGGTGATATTGGATCGGTTCGGGTTTTCAAATTTGATTCAATTAGGATTGGTTATTCGAATTTTTAGTTTAAGCTATTTTACATAAACTATTCATTAATTACACAACCCCACAGAAGAACTTAAATCCAAAGCCCAAAAACAAGAAGCCAATAAAAGAAATCACAGCAAATATAGAATATAATTTCAATAGTCAACACAACAAATTCATTCGCAATAAGTAAAAAAGGTTAAATGATGAGATTTTGGTTTTCGTAAGGGAAATGTTTGGGCTTTTGAATTGAAGTTTAGTTAAAAGAGAAGAAATTGAGTTCTAGATAGCTTTTGGGTTGCTAGAAACTAAAGGAATAGGTGGCAAAATTCTTGAAGTTCAAATCTATATCTAGGCTTGTTAGTGGGATTTTTTTAAAAAAGAAATCTACAACATAAAAGAGGTTGAGGAAGAAAATGAGGAATAATTTGGTGGTTTCGGCTTTCAAAATCGACACCAGCACAAGGTGGTTGGCAGCGCCACGTGATGGTAGAGACTAATGCCGGTGACAGTGATTGCTTTGTTTATATATTCATATTGAAAGACTGAGAGATCGAGCAAGTGAGGATAAATAGTGTTAGCCTGTTAGGGTTCTAAAATTTTAGAGTCAAATGTGACTGAAATGTCAGCAAACTAAAGAGTAAAAATGCTAAAAATAAATTGTTGTTATTTTTTTTAATTTTAAAAGGATAACAAGTGGGTATTGGATAATAGAGTGTAAGTCAGTTGGGTAATGGGCTTAAAGCATTTAGAATTGAATGGTATATTTGGATTTAGGCTTTATATATCAAACAATTTAAAACTTAATTTTTTTTGGGTCTTTTTTAATTCAAATTGATTTGGGTTTTTTCGAATTCGACCAAAATAAACCGAACCAATCCAAATGAATACGGTTTTAATTACGTCACATATCCGAATCTGAATCAAATATTTTAAATTCAAAACCAAATTGATCCGAACTCTTTGGTTCAAATTGATTTTTTTATATTTTTTTATTTTTTTCTCAACTCTAGTTAGTACATGGCTGACTAGACATGTTGCAGATGTTTAGTTGATTTAAATAATTTTCACTAAAATGACCATTGTGCCCCATTTGCATTTAATTATGAGAGAGAAAATTAGGCAATAAAATAAATTTCATCAAAGAGAGATTATGTTGAATTAAAATATAGCTTAAAAAAATTTTATGATTAAATTTACCTAATTCTATTATAAAAAAGTCAAATCAAAAGATTGTTTTATATGAAAAATTATAATTTTTAGAAACGTAAATAATGGCCTTTCTTTGTATAAAAAGTTTAACTATTCAAATGAATAAATATATCTGTAATTTTTTAAAAATGCATGATTCTATTTTAAAAAGATTCAAATCAGAATACTATTTTATATGAAAAATTATAATTTTCAGAAATGTTAATAGTAATTTCTCTTTATATGAAAAGTTTAACTATTCAAATAAACAAATATGTACATATTTTTTTAAAAAAGACATATTTCTAACTAAAAGAAAGTAACTTTTTATTGAAACAATGAAATCAAAGAGTCACAACCTTAAGTTAAAGATTGATATGGGTTCATTTGAAATATAATTCAATTTTAATTTACATCTTTCCTTCTTTCAACTTTTTCTTAGAGAGCTAGTTGTTTTAGTATCGTTTGTTGCAGAAAATCTTTTGTTAAAGATAAAGTACTTTTGTTTTTCAGTAAGGGATGTTTAGTGGTTTGGTTTTTTAGTGCAAAATAAACTAAACATAGGTTTCATTGTATCTTGAAAGTTATTTGATTCAATCTCTCTTACATACCATAATTGATAAAGGTGAAATAAGTCTTAAGGAAAATAGTGATTGTAGTATGCCTTGAAGCCATTTTTGTTCTTAATTAAAAGTTTCATAATGTTACAAGAAGATTAATAAAAAACTACAAAAAATTACATCAAATTTGTATTGTTTGATGATCTTAGCCTTGTGATTTTTTTCTAACTGATAAGTTGGTTAAATGGTAAGAAAAAGTAAGGATCAAATCCCTTGAGATCGAGAGCAAGAGACAAAGACTAGCTTTGAAGTTCTTGAGGTAACTTCAAGGCAACGAATTGGAGATGTACCAACAACCCTACCCTAGAGTCCATATATATATATATATATATATATATATTGACTAACACATCAACCATAACAGCTCAGCATTACCGGCATAATGGAAAACCCTGTCTGCTTTAGGAATTAACATCACAAGTTGCTCTTTTCATCAAATTACCAACATATCCAAACACTCTGTCTTCCGATTAATCCCAATCATATACATGATCAAGAAAGAAAATAGCTGCCTAATTTTCTTTTACACGTTTTTTTAAAAATAAATATAGAAATTAAAGGACTAAAATAACATTATCACAAAAGCCTAGGTAATTACCCATCAGCTGGTCATACTTCCAAGTCGAAAAATAAAACAAAGAATGTGAGATTTGGACGGAATTTGCGTGGTTGGCATTAAGGAAGACGTAGTAAATTAGTTTCGGAAGTATAGGTGTTTTGGTAAAGCAAAGAAATTAGGAAACATCCAACAGCTACAAGTCTTTTCTGTTGCTTTCAGTAAACTACCGGCCGGAAATTTGCACTTCCACTTCTCCTAATCCAAGGAATTGTGAAAATTGATTGCCACCAACCGCTTGGAAATTATTAACTTCAAAAAGAGGAAACAGAGGAGGAGAGCACACTCAAATTTACGCACAAGGCAAAGAGAGGGGAGAATATGGCCAAGAAGCAGCTGGTGATGCTGGTTACTGCAGCATGGGGTATCAGGAGCAGCTTCCAATCTCTTGTTGCCCTTCTCATTGCCATTCTAGTCATAGCCTCGATTTATCTGAGACAAAACAATGAACAAGTCTTCGAGTATGGGACTACACATAAAAGTTCCGGTGGCTTGTCGTCAAGGTGCAATTTGTTCTCAGGGAAGTGGGTATATGATAATAAATCTTATCCTTTATATAAAGAGAGAGAATGCACGTTTATGTCTGATCAGTTAGCTTGTGAGAAGTTTGGGAGAATGGACCTTAATTATCAGTTCTGGAGATGGCAACCTCACCAATGTGACCTCCCTAGGTCTCCTCTTTTTTTGTCTATATATGTATATCTTCTCTTTCGTTTTCCAGACGATATATACGCATATACTAGTATTCATATATATATATATATATATATATATATATATCTCCATATATAAGAATTACCCATATAAAATTAACAAAGGGATGATGATGGTTTTAAGATTGCATTTTTGAAATGTTTTTAAGTTTTGTGGAATGTTTCCTTGTTTTATGTTAATAAGGTTCAATGCCACAGCATTGCTGGAGAGGCTTAGGAATAAGAGGCTTGTTTTCGTTGGAGACTCGCTCAACAGAAACCAATGGGTTTCGATGGTCTGCCTGGTGGATTCAGCCATCCCTCTAGCCTTCAAATCCATGGATAACAACGGTTCAATAAACATTTTCAAGGCCACTGTGAGTCTTTAATATTTCCAAAACATTGCAGTTGTTGTTTCGTAGGAAATTTGAATGCTCTATATCTATATGCCAATCAGGGATTTTATTTTGGCTATGGCTTTTTCCACAGCATTTTGTGATCTTTGCCACAGTGGCTAAATTTTACTACTGATTAATGTTATTAAGGAATATAATGCAACAATCGAATTTTACTGGTCTCCATTGCTGGTGGAATCCAACTCTGATGATCCAGTGAACCATCGCGTACCAGACCGGGTTGTTAGAGTTCAGGCAATTGAGAAGCATGCTGGGCATTGGACAGATGCCGACATTCTTATTTTCAACACCTATCTTTGGTGGAGGAGACGCCAAATGAAGGTTTTGTAAGTACATTCCGAACCTATATATAATTAATCAAAACCGGCGGAGACTCGGCATTGACTTTGTAGTCCAAGTTTTAATTTGATATGGCTCTAATATCAGGTGGGGATCTTTTGAAAGCCCGGATGATGGGATATATAAAGCAGTAAAGCTGCCAAGAGTGTACGAGATGGCCCTACAGACATGGGCACAATGGCTGGAGGTTCATGTCAATAGAAACAAGACCCAGTTATTCTTTATGAGCATGTCACCAACTCACCAAAAGTATAAACCTTACTAAAATCTAATCTCTTCCCTATATATGGATTTATATTAATGAATTTAGTGATCAGATTACAAATTATTATTTATACCAAACCTGTCATGTAAAAACTTTCAGGGCCGACAAATGGGGTGGGATCAAAGGTGAAAATTGTTACAGTGAAACGCAACCGGTTATCAAAGAAGGATATGTGGGAGATGGAGCGAGTCCAAGGATGATGCGTGTAGTCGACAGCGTGCTTGGCGAATTGAAAACAAGAGGCTTGAACGTCCAGATGATTAACATCACACAGCTATCAGATTACAGGAAAGAAGCTCATCCATCAATTTACAGGAAACATTGGGAAACAATAGCAGAAGAACAATTATCGAACCCCCAGAATTATTCAGATTGTATTCATTGGTGCCTCCCTGGAGTGCCTGATGTGTGGAACCAGCTGCTCTATACCTATATTCTTCAACTTTGACAAATCACATTACCAAATAAAATGTTTCTGAAATTAGGAAAGCTTCATAGAACTGTTGATTGAATGAACATTAGAGCTCACAACATTTCATAGAGGATGGTTTTCCCTTTTATTTGTAAAAAATTGCAAATGGAGCTTAAATTACAGTCATTGAGTGCATATGTCACGGACCTAAAGGGGAGTCCCGAATCCCACATCGAACATAATAGGAGGGTCACTGGGGTATAAAAGGGTTCACACCATCTCCGCCTTGTGAGGCGCCTTTTTGTAGGACAAAATCGTGAGGCCAAGGGGGTCAGAGCGGACAATACCTCACAAGGGTGTGAACCGTGGCGGTCAGGCTGATCTGGATGCCGGAAGGGTGAATGCCCGGGTCCCGGAGCCGTGCGAGTTCGGAGCTTGAGTCTCGACCCGTGACAAGTGGTATCAGAACCAGCCCTAAATCGTTCGGTCCATGCCGAGTACCTCGAGGAAGGTAGGCAGGGTGGCCAGCCTCCGTGACGAGGGTGTCACGAGGTTGGGTGCGGAAAAATGTCACGGACCTAAGGGGGAGTCCTGAATCCCACATCGAACATAATAGGAGGGTCACTGGGGTATAAAAGGGCTCACACCATCTCCGCCTTGTGAGACGCCTTTTGTAGGACAAAACCGTGAGGCCAGAGGGTCAGAGCGGACAATACCTCACAAGGGTGTGAACCGTGACGGTCAGGCTGATCTGGATGCCGGAAGGGTGAATGCCCGGACCCAGAGTCACGCGGGTTCGGAGCTTGAGTCTCGACCCGTGACACATACACATTATAATAAATCCATCCTTTTAGTTGACTTAATTCTCCATAAAAATTACTTTATTAAATATTTTAAAAAATTAAATAATCATGTAATTTTCATAAAAAGTAATTCAATTCTAAATTATAAAAAATTATACTTGTACCTAACTACCACTTGGTACAAATGTTTTTATTAGCCTAACAACTTCGCATAGATTAATATTACTCAAAATAAACTAATATTTTTATTTTTATATTACTAAGAATTTAGTTTTAAAATAATTTTTAATTGAAAAAAGCTATATAATAGGATTCGCTCAGATTACAACTAATCTTTCACATAACCGCCAATAATTAGGGTTGGCGTTGTAGGTGAACACATATGGAAAGGTCAGAGAAACAAAGATACAATACTCCCGTATGAACCCAACCACCCACTAATCACCGATCAAACTATCAATACAGCAACAATCTGCAAGAATAATCAGCCTTAATTACAGCTGGCTTGATCTGCTTATTAAGTACTTATGACCTTCCATGGACTTTTATTAATTGACAAACCCGTTGTTCTTACATTAAAATCTTTTCCGAATCGAGTTATTATTACTTGTTATGCCTTATAGAAGTAACAGTTATTCTAGAAGCTCAAGGTTCTTGCTTCTGCAAAATCTCTGGTTCTGCTTCATTCACCATGTCCATGACGCCTAGATGGAGCAGAAAGAAACCCCCATTTCCCTTTGCTTGCAGTTCTTCTCCTGTTTTTATAGCTTGTCAATTCTCTACAATGAATTCAGCATTCAACAAATCCATGAAAGCCCCGATCATGTTACTCGAAGCAGTCAACAAACTCCATTTACTTATGTAAAAACCAAATCTTCCAAAAGGAGCTTCAGGTGTGCTATTCCATCTTCAATCTCTACTGTCTTTTTTTTTTTTTTTTTTTTTGAGCAGTCTTCTTGGTCAAAGTTCCATTCTTTGAATTTCAACCAGAAAAAAAAGTTATTTTATTTTAAAGATTTTGGCATGTTAGTATAACTGGGATTTGGATGTTTATGTGTGGGTTTTTAGAGGTTTTGGATAGATTCAGTAGTTGCAACTCTACTAGGAGCTACAGTGGGAAGAAAATTCGGTGGGTTGACCCAGATGCAGAATCGGGTCGGCGGAGGAGCATAAGCCAGGAGAGCTGTGATATTTTCTCTGGAAAATGGGTGTTTGATAACGAATCGTATCCGCTTTACAAAGAGTCCGACTGTCCATATATGTCGGACCAGTTGGCATGTCATAAGCATGGAAGGTCTGATTTGCAATATCAGTACTGGAGATGGCAGCCTCATAACTGCAATTTGAAGAGGTAATATCCTGTTTCTTTGTGTCGTTTTTGTCAGATGTCGAGACCCAAGTCTTAGATTTGCTTTTTCTAGCTCTTGGTGTTAGTAGCTTTGCAGATAAATTTGAATAAAAGGAGATCTAGCTAATTCAAGAGAAATTGTTGATCTGTCCCGATTGAAATGCAATGAATTAGATATTTAGATGTATTGCAACGAATGCCATGTGAGGAATGGAATGTGATTCTTCTGAGTGGTGAAACTGTCAGTTAACATTTTGGCCATTGATGATAGAAATTTCCTTTAATTGAAACTGATTTTTTTAAATCTATTCTATGGTGTGTAGATGGAATGTGACTGAAATGTGGGAGAAGTTGAGAGGGAAGAGGCTAATGTTTGTGGGGGATTCTCTGAATAGAGGTCAATGGATATCAATGGTGTGTTTGTTACAGTCGGTGATCCCAGCAAATAAGAGATCCATGACTCCTAATGCTCAGCTTACCATTTTCAGGGCAGAGGTAAGCCAGGAAACTTCCTCCAAGAGGTTTTAATATAAAAATAAGAAATTTGCATATGATACTTTGGTGATTAAATTTTTATTCAAGTTTGTATGTGCATTATTCTTTGTGAGGGCATGCCCAGAGACAAAATAAAACTTCATGAAACATTATAAGCAGGTGATAGATAGTGGAAATCTTATATCACAGTACATCATTGCCTGAGCTACTCTTGTGTCATTTGCAGGAATATAATGCCACAGTGGAATTTCTTTGGGCTCCACTTCTGGTTGAATCTAATTCTGATGACCCAGTGAATCACAGATTGGCTGAACGAACTATCCGTCCAGATTCAGTACTCAAGCATTCATCACAGTGGGAGCATGCAGATATACTAGTTTTTAACTCATACTTGTGGTGGAGACAAGGCCCAGTTAAGCTGTTGTATGTATAATAGCTGAAAGATTCTAATTTAGGAAAGATAAATATATTTTGAAGATTTATTGATTTCCTAGTATACTCGCAACTTTTGCAGATGGAGTGCTGAGGAAAATGGAGCCTGTGAGGAACTCGATGGACTAGGAGCAATGGAGTTGGCCATGGGAGCTTGGGCAGATTGGCTAGCATCGAAAGTCATTCCCCTGAAGAAACGTGTCTTTTTTGTTACTATGTCACCAACACATTTATGGTGAGGTCTTTACACCTAAACTGAATTATTCTATACTTTTCATTATCTGGAGGCATTTGAGGCAGAGATGATGAATTCATAAGACGGATAGTGCATCGAGAGTCAGTAAAAGGACTATTGTCAGTATCTAGAGCTTTTGGCTGTAGCATGGAGCATGTAAAAGATAGAGGTTCATGATATTTCCGTTGTCAAGAATCAAATTTAGTATGCTCTTGCTGGGGTTTGAGATCCTAGCTGATTTGAAAATATTGAAGCATGTAGAACCAACAAATTAATAAATTGAATGAGCTGCTTATTTTCTTATTTAGATTTTACTTGCATGAAAATCATTGTTGGCCATGAATCCATTATACAATCTTAGTGCACCATCTGTGGTCTTCAATGCCATGGAGTTGACTTGATGCTCTGCATCCAATTACTTCACTTTTAAGTTTAAAAATGGAGGCCCTATGTAATTGTCATGGGCCTTGTGGCTAATTATTATTACCAAAACTGCAAGGCGGCATCTACAAGAGTATGGTGCTCCTATCGGTACCTTGGCATTCAACCCCCAATTATTTATTACAGTTTATTTTAGTGTCTCATTGGACTAATGATTGCCAAGCTCTTAGAGAGTGAAAAGGTTGATGCTTCCATTGCTTAAGGCTTTTGAATCCTTTCATTGTAAGTTGAGGGATCTTTTAAGAATTTTTGGCCTATATTTACTAACATTTTACCATTAATCAGGAGTCGAGAGTGGGAACCTGGAAGTGAAGGAAACTGCTATAATCAGAAGACACCTATCAATGAGGAGAGCTACTGGGGAAGTGGCTCTGACTTGCCTACCATGCGCATGGTGGATAAAGTGCTTTCCCATTTGAGTTCAAAGGTATCTGTTATCAATATTACTCAGCTCTCAGAATATCGAAAAGATGGCCACCCTTCCATCCATAGAAAATTTTGGGAGACACTGAGCCCCCAGCAATTGGCAAACCCTGCAAGCTACTCTGATTGCATACACTGGTGCTTACCGGGCGTGCCTGATGTGTGGAATGAATTAGTATTCCATTTTTTGTAAAAATAAATGAATAATTGAAATTCTTTTAGTGGCTTTACATAAGCAATAGGAAAAAGAAAGTTTAATTGTGAATTCTTTGCCATTTCTGGAATGGGAATGACAACTGTGTCCGCTCTTGGATGGTTGAGTGAAATGATTGCTTATAACAACAGAAATTGTATTTCTTTTTTTGTTTGTCTAGAACTTGAATGCCAGAGGGCATGAAGACTTTTACATATCTTAATACGTCTGACCATGTACAAGGTGATTCTCTAGATTCATCGGAGATGATGGCAAATTTGACTTTGGCTATTTTCTTCTGGAAGCAACTTGTGTAATACCTTTCTGATGCCTATTGTTGCATTGCCTACCCTTGTGCTTTTGGGTCTGGGGATAAAGAATGAGAAACAATTCTAGGTGACACATGCCTCCATGATACAAAAATTCTAAGTGACACATGCTTCCATGATACAAAAGCTTAGCTTTATGTTTTTCGGCCTTCTCCATATTTGATTCCCTGAGCTGGTAATGTCCAGTTGCACGATCAATAGTTCATTCAACGAAAATTTTAAGTGTTCAAAGCAAACGAATGAAATGAGGCTAGGGGCAGCCCAACTGAAATATCTTTTATACCTTGGATTGGGTGTTGGCCCAGACAAGGCTCTATATCCAACTTTTCCTTTTGGGTTTTTGGTACAGAAAAAAAAAAAAGCTCAAATCATAAAATCACGCTGATTTCTCTGTGAAATATATTTGGCTGTTGAAACATAATGTTAGGGGCGATCAGTAACATGAGCGTCTGATCAAAGCCACACCAAGCAAATAGCAGTGAACATG